AATCAAACTGACATGTGTGGAAAACTACACGTGTGCCATGTTTGCACAACCAGTTTCCAAAAAAAAACAAAAAAAAAAAACAAAAAAAAAAAAAAAACAAAGAGCGAGCATGCTAACCCTGGTCCTCTGCTTCCTTAGCTGCAAGTGTTTGTTTCCCTATTGGACATTTCCTGGCTGTCATCTTTACTCAGCTTCTGGCACTGGGCAGGCCTTAAAAGGCATAATGGAGATTATGAAACCCTGGAGCAGGAAGAGTGAGCACAGAGGTTATTATAGGACAAATTAACAGATTTGATTTGGGTGAATTTATACACACATATACAGCATCACTGTGGCATTTTAACTGGTTGGAAACAACTTGTCATCAGTAACAATAACTGTAAGCAGCTGCTGACATCTGTCAGTCAGTAAACGCATGTCAAACATATGTACAAAGCAAAACCAATAAAAGTCGGTCGCGTTCAAACGAGTTAAAAAGTAAGATATTTCCGGCCTGTTTCCAGCTGACAGCAGGGCTGTGTGCAGTAATGGATGCACTCGAGGCTCCGCTGTTTATCTGCGAGGTGACAGGAGGCGAAGAAGTGCAGCCAGAAACACTTGTGTTATGAAGAGGAAACCTCTGCAACATGGCAGTCACACAGGGCGAACAACAAGCTAACAGCAGCCATGTACAAACACACACACGGCTCGCTGCTGTCTGGACCGGCCCTAAACTCCACTGACAGCTGACGTTTGGCTTCCAATTCATCAGTGAACTTGACGTCCATTTTTTTTTTTTACTTCAACAAACGTCGACTCGACTCGGCAGAAACAGCTCCGGTACGTGTTGTCGTGTTTAACGACACGTTTTTCGTTCAAGCCGAACCGGAGCGAGTCGAGCCCTCGGCGAGATGCCGTACCTTCCTTGCTCTTCGCGGCCGCCGCGGCGACGTGTTGTTGAGAAACCGTTGGGGACGAGGAGAGCTGCGACCAAGATGGCGTCGCCTCCAAACTTCCACCACCACTTCCACTGTTACTTTGGACACTCATGAAGCCAGTTTACCGCCGAGAGGAGCCAGCGCGCACACTGCTGCGGTCTGCGGAAACCCCAAACTTGCGTCCATCGTTCGGCAACCTGCTGCAGCCGAAACAGGCTTTTTGGAACCGAGGAGGAGGGGTTTTGTTTGTTTCAGTCCGTCTTTTTTTGCGCAGCTACACGTCTCGCATGTTGTCACCCGTGGCGGGTCCTGCTGCGGAGGAGCGGCTTCTTGAAGCGGATCCAGCGTAACCTTTGCATGATGACCGCACCGCGCGCCTGTCAGCATCCAGTTCGCGAGCGGAGCTTTGATTCTACGAGGTTATTATCGCGAGGCTGGCGCGCGCGCGTAGCAGCGCGAGGGGAGGGAGGAATGGGTTGACACCAAAACAGACGCTGATCTGGGATCGTTTTACTCTCCTCCCAACGAGCTGTGAGTTCAGTGGATGCCACCGCTCTGCGTCGACCTGAGAACAGCCTGCTCGACACAACAAACACCCCCTAAAAATGGCTGAAAGTTGTCTGCACGAGGAGAGACGTCATATGTGTACATTAAATTTCAAATAACACACATTTAAACATCGAAATACAACATGTTAGAGAACGCCGACGCAAAGTAACCCTGTTGTTGTACAGTGTGTGCAGCAGAGTGTTGTTTTAAGTTTGACAGGAGAGAGTTAGCGCGTGCTGCTGGGCTGGGCTGTGGTCCTGGTGTGCTGTTTTTCACTCTTGAAATTTAAGTTGCAGGGAGGGGTGGGGGTGCAGGTGGGAGGATAGTGATGTGGTCTGTGCTGCTATAAGGTCTTTTGTTCCAAATTTGGTGCAGTGCATCAAAATGTCTTTTGCCATCTTGTAGGGCAGCAAACAACAAAACTCAACATCCTGGCTTTAACGTTTCACTTGACCTACTTCTTTCTTACTTTCTAGTTTCATTTTAAAATTGAATGCAATTATTTTTAAACCGTGCAGATTGTGCAGAGAGAGCCAAAAAGGGTGCTTTTCCACAGCAAAATTATATTTTAAGTGTCTAACATTGTAACAAAAATATAGGCATCCAAATAGGTTGGAAACAATTAAAGACGGCTGCTTTTCCCCCAGACTGCACCAAGAAAACAGACCTAAGTGCACCTCCTGTACACCTGCTCATGGTAACCTGATTTTTATTTATTTATTTTATTTTTTTGGTGGCAGAGTTTCCATGGGAACAAAGAAATAGGTTTGACAGGCAGATTGCACAAGCAGTCTACTGTATGACACCATGCACACACACTCACACACTCATCCCGAGTTGGTGGTGTGATTTCACATATGAGGCTGTAGTTGTGGCTATGTGGAATACTAGGGGATGATGGGTAATCTAGGAGTGCAAACTGAAAACTTCTCAGCAACCATCATAAGCCCCTATGCAAAATTAAAATATTTTAACAAGCAGTTGAAACCAGTTGCAACATTCAGCAAAGTACACTCCCAACACTTAACACAAAATGGAAACAGTCAAAACATAACAAATATTTCATTTTATATATTGTAAAAGCTGTTCTTTAAAAAAAAAAAGAAAAACTAGTGTCCAGTTGTGTTATGTTTGCTTGAATAAACTATATATAAATATACACTCACCGGCCACTTTATTAGGTACACCTGTCCAACTGCTCGTTAACACTTAATTTCTAATCAGCCAATCACATGGCGGCAACTCAGTGCATTTAGGCATGTAGACATGGTCAAGACAATCTCCTGCAGTTCAAACCGAGCATCAGTATGGGGAAGAAAGGTGATTTGAGTGCCTTTGAACGTGGCATGGTTGTTGGTGCCAGAAGGGCTGGTCTGAGTATTTCAGAAACTGCTGATCTACTGGGATTTTCACGCACAACCATCTCTAGGGTTTACAGAGAATGGTCCGAAAAAGAAAAAACATCCAGTGAGCGGCAGTCCTGTGGGCGGAAATGCCTTGTTGATGCCAGAGGTCAGAGGAGAATGGGCAGACTGGTTCGAGCTGATAGAAAGGCAACAGTGACTCAAATAACCACCCGTTACAACCAAGGTAGGCAGAAGAGCATCTCTGAACGCACAGTACGTCGAACTTTGAGGCAGATGGGCTTCAGCAGCAGAAGACCACACCGGGTGCCACTCCTTTCAGCTAAGAACAGGAAACTGAGGCTACAATTTGCACAAGCTCATCGAAATTGGACAAGAGAAGATTGGAAAAACGTTGCCTGGTGTGATGAGTCTCGATTTCTGCTGCGACATTCGGATGGTAGGGTCAGAATTTGGCGTCAACAACATGAAAGCATGGATCCATCCTGCCTTGTATCAACGGTTCAGGCTGGTGGTGGTGGTGTCATGGTGTGGGGAATCTTTTCTTGGCACTCTTTGGGCCCCTTGGTACCAATTGAGCATCGTTGCAACACCACAGCCTACCTGAGTATTGTTGCTGACCATGTCCATCCCTTTATGACCACAATGTACCCAACATCTGATGGCTACTTTCAGCAGGATAATGCGCCATGTCATAAAGCTGGAATCATCTCAGACTGGTTTCTTGAACATGACAATGAGTTCACTGTACTCAAATGGCCTCCACAGTCACCAGATCTCAATCCAATAGAGCATCTTTGGGATGTGGTGGAACAGGAGATTTGCATCATGGATGTGCAGCCGACAAATCTGCGGCAACTGTGTGATGCCATCATGTCAATATGGACCAAAATCTCTGAGGAATGCTTCCAGCACCTTGTTGAATCTATGCCACGAAGAATTGAGGCAGTTCTGAAGGCAAAAGGGGGTCCAACCCGTTACTAGCGTGGTGTACCTAATAAAGTGGCCGGTGAGTGTATATATATATTAAGGCTGTGAAGTTAAGTGAGTTATTGTGATTAATTTCAGTGCTGTATGGGCACAGATTAAAAATTTTAAGCGCGATTACTATTTACAATCACTTTACTATGGCTGAATATGTAGGATTGTATATTGCAATGCACTCAGTGCATGCCAGGTCATGTTTGTAAATGAGAAGTGGTTCTCAAACAGTTTACCTGGATAAATAAAGGTTAAATAAATAATTTAAAAATACTCCATGTGTAACACATTATGTACAGTTTTTTTTTCTTTTTGTCTTCTTATGGCTTAATTTATTTTATTTATTTAATAAATAAATAATTGAATTTTTTTAAATTTAAAATTTTATATTAAGTTTAAGATTAATCTTGATTAATCGTGATTAATTCAATACTGCTTCACACAGTCTTTGCATTCTCTTGATGAGCTTCAAGGGGTAGTCACCTGAAATGGTTTTCCAACAGTCTTGAAGGAGTTCCCAGAGATACTTAGCACTTGTTGGCTCTTTTGCCTTCCCTCTGTGGTCCAGCTCAGCCCAAACCATCTCGATTGGGTTCAGTTCCGGTGATTGTGGAGGCCAGGTCATCTGACACAGCACCCCAACACTCTCCTTCTTGGTCAAATAGGCCTTACACAGCCTGGAGGTGTGTTTGGGGTCATTGTCCTGTTGAAAAATAAATGATGGTCCAACTAAACGCAAACCGGACAGAACAGCATGCTGCTTCAAGATGCTGTGGTAGCCATGCTGGTTCAGTATGCCTTCAGTTTTGAATAAATCCCCAACAGTGTCACCAGCAAAGCACCCCCACACCATCACACCTCCTCCTCCATGCTTCACGGTGGGAACCATGTAGAGTCCATCTGTTCACCTTTTCTACAAAGACACGGTGGTTGGAACCAAAGATCTCAAATTTGGACTCATCAGACCAAAGCACAGATTTCCACTGGTCTAATGTCCATTCATTGTGTTCTTTAGCCCAAACATGTCTCTTCTGCTTGCTGCCTGTCCTTAGCAGTGGTTTCACACAGTCTCCTCTTAACAGTTGTTCTAAAGATGTGTCTGCTGCTGGAACTCTGTGTGGCATTGACCTGTTCTCTGATCTGAGCTGCTGTTAACCTGTCATTTCTGACGCTGGTGACTCGATGAACTTATCGTCCGCAGCAGAGGTGACTCTTGGCCTTCCTTTCCTGGGGCAGTCCTCATGTGAGCCAGTTTCTTTGTAGCGCTTGATGGTTTTTGCGACTGCACTTGGGGACACTTTCAAAGTTTTCCCAATTTTTCGGACTGACGGGCCTTCATTTCTTAAAGTAATGATGGCCACTCGTTTTTCTTTAATTAGCCGCTTTTTTTACCATAATACAAATTCTAACAGTCTATTCAGTAGGACTACCAGCTGTGTACTTTATTCACCTTCTGCACAACACAACTGATGGTCCCACCCCCATTTATAAAGCAAGAAATCCCACTTATTAAACCTGACAGGGCACACCTGTGAAGTGAAAACCATTTCAGGTGTCTACCTCTTGAAGCTACAAAGAGTGTGTGAAGCAGTAAACAAAGCAAAAGGTGGCTACTTTGAAGAACCTAGAATATGAAACATATTTTCAGTTGTTTCACACTTTTTTGTTAAGTATATAATTCCACATGTGTTAATTCATAGTTTTGATGCCTTCAATGTGAATCTACAATTTTCATTGTCATGAAAATAAAGAAAACTCTTTGAATGAGAAGGTGTGTCCAAACCTTTGGTCTGTACTGTATATATTGCAAACAGTTTGAGTAATGTCACGTTTCGTTAAATTTTCCTTCCAAAAATATCAATTTCGGAAGCCATGGGACTGCCGCTGCTTTAGACTTTTGCACAGTTCTTCATGATAAATCTGAAAAGCACTCTGCTGTTTGACATATTGGAAAAGGAGTAAAGTCTGGAAACATGCTTTTCCATACACTAACTTGGCTTTCTCATACTTTGAAAAAAACAAAACAATTAAATTGCAGAATTTTTTCATATTGCATAGGTTTGACTTTGTAATCTTCAGTTTTACAAAAAGAAAAAAGTTTTACAAAAGAACAATCTGAAGTTTACAACATTTCATTTGTGAGAGAATGGATGAGCTTTATGCTGTAACTTAAGTTTAGACAGAATAGAAGAGAATAGAATAGAATAGAATAGAATAGAATAGAATAGAACAGAATAGAACAGAACAGAACAGAACAGAATAGAATAGAATAGAATAGAACAGAATAGAATAGAATAGAATAGAACAGAATAGAATAGAACAGAATAGAATAGAATAAACCTTTGTCATTGTACAAAGCACAACAAAACACAGAGAAATAGATACATGGACTCCACATCATTCTTTAAAACAGTCAACGCTTAAATTGCATTTTCAAAACTTGAAGTAAATAAGACCATGTTTTATCCATTTGTGATGCATTTTATTATTATTAATAATAATAATAATAAAATCCACCTGAAAATATTCAACTGCAAAAATTTGCCTGTAAATGTGTTGACTTTCTGGTAACTCAAGCCAAAGCAATCAGCACTAGATGAAGTCGAGCGGCTTTTAGCCAGTTGAATTGCGCTCATTTGATCACATCACACACCAGTTGATCATATCACACACCAGTTGATCACATCACACACCAGCTGATCACATCACACACCAGTTGATCACATCACACACCAGTTGATCACATCACACACCAGTGTCGGGCAGAGGTGACTCTCTTAACAGCCAGCTGGTTAGTGGCTGGATGAAGATGAGTGAGGAGGTTTTTCTGTTAGGTGTTATTTTTTCATTGAACTCTGGTGAAATGTGTGACTGATTGACCTTTTAACCAAACTCCCTGACTCTAGATCAGTGGTTCCCAAAGTTGGGGTCAGGACCCAAAGTGGGGTCCTGAAAATATTTTCTAAATTAATTACAGTTTTGCCTTAGTTGCCTAAAATGTATAAATGTAGAATAATAAATATTGTTATTATGCCAATGTTAGTTGACCTGACACATGTTTATCATCCAAAAATAGTTGTGGCCACAGGTCTCTACTGTTATTTTGTGGGTCAAAAGCTGAAAGGTTTGGGAACCACTGCACTTCAGAAATCAATTTAAAGTGTAATAAAATAATTGGTGGTGTTATATTTTCCCTATAATTATTACAAAAACACAAAAGAAAAATAAATAAGTATTTATATTTGTGTAGCCTTTGTTTTTAGGGTTATTGACAAAGTTTGTGTACTCAGACCAGTAATATTTGGGGTCACAAGTTTTTGCCATGAATATTTTGTGGGTCAGAAGATAAAAAGTTTGGGAACCACAGCTCTAGATGGCTGTCACAGCTAAACAAACTTAGCAAACAGAAGAATAGCTAGAACTTAATCAATGCGTATGGTAGTGGCTGAGGGTAATTCTCAAATCATAGTCCAAGTTCTACACTGTGCTATGCTAAAAACTTCAGCACTAACTGTTTGAGTCAACCCTGATTGTCTGTTAGCAAAATGTACTGAATCCTGAACTAATTTTAATGAAACTCTCAAACAAATCACTGTTTGAACTTCTAAACATTTGGAGTCAACCCAATTCAAGATGGCCACTAATTAACAACAGCAGACACAAACAACTGGAAGCAGCTGTTTAACATCTCAAAAGCTACAGCCCTGAATCCCAGCTGAGTTGAAAATGAAGTGCTGAGGATGCAGAGCAGGAACACAGAGGAGTTCTATATATATATATCTATATATCTAGGAGCCTATTGGCCGAGGTCTAGTTTAAAGGAACCTCGGCCAATAGGAGAGAAGCTGGGGCGGTGACGCTTTTCTTAAGACCGCCTCCTCTGTTTTTACATTCCCTGCTGCATGTGGAGCTGGAAAAGACAATACAGCCAGCAAGGAATGTAAAAAAAAGAAATGAAAATATATGGGCTCAGGGAAATGTGTTTGGTAAAAATATACAACAAAGG